TATTCATGAAGAATAGCAACAGCTAACAGGTCAGATCACATAGACACAGGGCAAGATGCTATAGTAGTTAGGTTTACGATACTATTACAAAATATCTGAAATAACTTACAGGAGAAAAAGGTTATTTTAGATTACAATTTGAATGTTTCAGTTGGCAGTGTTGGCAGTGACTGGGGACCAGGGTACACTATAGCAAAAGCCTTAAGCAGAAGCTGCTTCCTCATGGTTGGCAGGAAGCAAAGAGGAGACCCGAGTCTTGCTATCTCCTTCTGGACACATGGCACAATGACTAAAACTTTCCTCTTATTAATGTTTCCATATTCTAATAGTGTAATAATGCTGGAAACCAAGCCTTTGATGCATGTGCTTGGGACAACATTGCAAACCCAAACTAGCAAAATCTGCATGACTCAGATCCATGATATGCAGCCTCACATGAAAAAGGCTTACTGGATAACCCATGGGGGTGGGGAGTAGGGAGCGCTTCTCTGGAGAAGATGGTTTCTCCCACTCCTGGTGTTGTCCAGTTGTCATAGCTCTTGTCTAGGGCTGAGAGCCCAGGAGCTTTTATCCTTCCACGTCATCATGTCCCTTGGTGTCCTTTTTGGGGTCTTTTTAGGCAGCTGTTTTGCTGATCTTCCATGATGTAGCTTCTCTGACAGCAAATTCCCTGTAGCCCTTACAGTCTTTCTGCCTCTGCTTCTGCAATGATTCCTGAGTCCTAGGTGCAAGGTGAAAGAATGTGTACTGGACATATTACTGGGAGAGATCAGCCAAGTGATAACACATTGTAAAATTTCCTTACTACCTAAAAAGGAAGTTCTTACTCAGGGGTTATGGTACAAACCTCTAACTCCAGCACTCAACAGGCTGAGACAGGAGGATCACTGTAAGTTCTAGGATATCTTGGACTACACAACAAGTTCAAACCAACCCTGGGCAACATAGTAGGACCTGTCTCAACACACACACACACACACACACACACACACACACACACACACACACACACTAAAACAATACCCACTAAACTGGGCACCATTGTACACACCACCTAAAAATAAAACAAGACCCCATAACTGGGCATGGTGGTACACACCACCTATAAATAAAACAATACCCACCATAACTAGGCATGGTGATACACACCACCTGAAATACTAGCACTTGGGAAGTAGAGGTAGTAATCATGAGTGATCAATTGGTTCTCAGCCTTTTATATAAGATCATGTATAGTATCAGGGATATCCAATGGCTACATAGCAAGTTTAAGGACAACCTGACTGAGATTCTATCTTAAAAAAGAAAAAAAGTTCTTAAAAAATATATCAACCTGCCCAGATAGGAACTAATTTGAAAATTTTAAAGATGATGATAATAAACCAGGATTAAAACACAGTAATAAAAAATTACCATCATCATCACCAAAAGGAGACATCTCTGAGTCAAAATAATAAAAACTCCATGCTAGACAGATGATAGACATTTTAATTACAGAGTCACTGCACAAAAAGCAAGCACCTATAGTCTTCAACACAAATCCTGTTCGTTTCTTATTGCTAGAATCTTATTCATTTCTTGTTACAAGACTTGATGGCAGGGCAGCAAGCCTTCACTTTGCCCTACCCTGCTCAGCCTGAGGAGACAAAGTCTAAAAAGATGGACTGGCTAACTGCATTGTGTTTTAGTGTTTTCTATTTAAAACAAAATTCCAGAAAAACAGGTCTAGACAGATGGTTCCCTTGTTAAATCACTTATTGTAGCAGCAGGAGGACCCAAGTTCAGATTTTCATCATCAAAATTAAGAAGTAGGTATACAGACATGTATGTGTCTGTGACTACAGAACTGGGTGACAGAGACATCAGCTCAGTTTCATTTGCCACCAGTCTAGCTAAATCAAAAAGTTCCGAGTTCAGTGAAGAACCTTGTCACAATAAATAAATAAATAAATAAATAAATAAATAAGGTGTAGAGTAACTGTAGAAAATATTCAACACCAGCCTTTGGCCTCCATATATGCACATATCTACATGCACATATATACATTACATACACAAAAGAATGTGACTTAAAGTGAAGCTGTGAAGATATTCATACTGAGGTGACTGACCATGACTTTAACAAGTTGGGACCCTGAAATAGAGCAAACATCATTGGAAATGAGCCTCCAGGGCATTCTTGGATCCCTTTCTTTTCCCAGTTCTCCCACTCTGACAATTCTATAGATGGCTCCTATATGGTAGACAGCATATCATATCTATAATTGTTACAGTCTCCTACTTATCAAACTGCCCTGCGCTGGAACTCCATCAGTGCATGTATCATTTGTGGCTTTTATACTCTTATTTTCTTTGATAACATCACAACCTCTCTATATCCTACATTGTGCAGGTACTCCCTGACATTATTCTTTATAACAATATGATGCAGAAATACATCTTTTTGATGCCACTCTTTTCTATTAAAGCATGTGGGTTTCTCACATTGAACCATTTTGATATTCCACAAACCTTCTTTATATGACCTTCATGTTCCAAATGCAGGCAATGTGGAGGCTAGCCTACCTGGACTACTACTCCCTGAGCCACTGTCCATGGTGGTGACCTATATTACACATGTTCTATGTATTATCTGCACTGAAAAGCATTCAGGAAACACTGAGAATCATGACTAAAACTTATAAACTATACTGAAACCCAACAGACTGCAGAGATGAGTTAAGTCACAGGACATTGAAAGTAGACACTTGAAACACTTGAATTCATCACAATGGTTAACAATAAGGTAGAAACAAATTTCTGTGGTAGTATAGTGTGTACAATAGTTAATTTTATGACATAATTTAACATTTCATGTCTGTATTTGTTTACATTTTTCTTGATAAAAACTGGTACATGTATACCCTGTACTTATGTGAATAAGTACATTTTAACATTTTATTTGGATATATTTTATGGAAATAAATGATAAAGTAGACTATTATCAAAACACATTCTATGCAATTATGATATATCTAACTTTTCAAAAAAAATATGTTTCTATCATATATAATCTCTGAAAAGATTTTCAAATTGACTCAAATAACAAAATAAAGACCAGAAACCTGCCATATAAATAGGGCAATGAAGTTTCAAAACCATGTTGTCCTAAGGTCAACTGTATCACCAGTATGAAGCCATCATCACTCTACACAATCCTACATATAATTAGCATTATTATTCCTATTGTTAAGAGAAAGATAAGAGTAGTTGAAAAACCAGGCATTGGTGGCACACGCACTTGGGAGGCAGAGGCAGAGGGATCTATGTGAGTTTGAGGCCAGCCTGGTCTACAAAGCAAGTTCCAGGAAAGGCTCCAAAGCTACACAGAGAAACCCTGTCTCAAAAAAGAAAACAAAACAAACAAAAACAAAAAAAACAAAAACCAGTAGTTGAAAAACTTACATTGGGCAAAAGGGAAAATCTGAATTAAAATCCAGATAGTTCTATTTCTGGGGTCTACCTCTATTCCTTTAACATCATGATACTGTTTTCAAAATTCCCCTCAAGTCAGCCTGTGCTCATATACTGTCTGTGAGATTATAAATTAGAGCCACACTTTGGAAATCAAATGTTTACATCAAGGAAGATGGAAACACAATCTATTTAGATGGAAGTCCAGCATAACCATCTAGAGAAGGTCTTCTAGTCCCTGTCACTAGTTGCTCCTGTTCTGTGTGATTTCTAAACATTAAGCTGCCCAGAGTAAGTCCTTAGACCTCTCTTTTCTCGCCCCACTGTTATTCTAGGTGATCTCAATTAGGACTAAAACAGTAAATACTATTTCTACATGAATGATTTTCTCTGAAGATGTCATCAAACTATGTTATCTCTTAACATCACTGTAGTAATTGTTTATTAACCCCTTGTTACAAACCTAATCCAAGCCATCAACCACTTTCTAGCTGTGAGAAGACTCTCTGAAAACTCAAAGCCAAGAATCACCTTGGTCATTTTGTTTTCTGAAGGTAAGCACTAGTTCCACTATTCCTTTGAACATCACCTCTAAAGGAAAGATCAGGATGATATAAAGTGAGCTAGAAAACATGCTGCTTTGTTCCACATCTGCCTGAAAATGACTTTGTAAAAGATAGGCCAAGATAGTTGCACACATTGCTATGACCATAATGCATGACAGAAACCTCAGGAAGAAAGGTGTGTTTCAGCTCACACTCTTATAAATGTCAGCCCATCACAATGGGGAAGGCACAAAGGAATGGCCAGTCCACAATGAGAGAGGGCTATCCACACAGCAGCGGAACAGGGAGCTAAGAGAGTATGCCATATCCCGGAGTTAGAACAGTCCTTAAGACCATCCTTGGTGATCTACTTCCACAGAAGAGCCTGCCTCCTAAAAGCTCCAGAGTCTTCAAAACAGCAACACAGGCTGTGGAAGACATTTCAAATTTTATGTATAACAGGAGAAATGCAAATTATTGATGTGTTTTATTGCCCAGTTAAAATATGGGTAATAAATTTCCTCTAGAGATAAAATTATATTAGATAGCAGAAAAGAAACACGAAACATCTAGAACTCAGAATTCCACCACATTAAGATAAATTCCTTCTGAGGTATTAATATGAAATGGCTTACACAAAATATCTCCAGTCTAAGTTAACACAATGGCAGAAGACAAGAAGGCCAGAATATGTGACAGTCCACTCAGCAAAATATGGTAAAGATACTGATCTTGATTGAAAAGTCTTGAAAGTGTTTGTTTTGTCATTAAGTAATGATCTCGAGCAGGAAGAGCATTGAGAAGCCTTCTCTCTGGGAACTCTTGAGTCTATGCTTCATTTCAGGCATTGGAATGGTTGCTGTGAGCAATATAAACAGTTGCAAATAGCTTAGGCACTGACATTCTTATTTTACAACTGAAATGAACAAAGAGTACCTAAATATTTCTACCCTTTTACTGTGCATGGAAAAATTTCCCTGAAGAGGTAATTTAAGTATGTACCTTTCAATGCTGTAGTCTTTTCTTTTTCATCTGGACCTCCCTGCTGGATTTGTGCCGTGCTTATCCAAATTGGCAAGAAAATTAAAGAGCTCAAGGAAATAGACATCAATCTTCAGAATAGTCTAGAATGAATGAAAACCATAAATTAAAGTCTACCCAAACCCTACCTGTTCCATGAAAGTTTCCTAGCACCTACAAGAGAAAAAGAATAACTTCACACCTTTATTATCCACTCTACTTTGTGGATGCCCATAACTCAAAATTTATTATTTGCCTGCTTCAAATGAAAGTATTTATGTGTCGTCTGACTCAGCTAATAGCTGTTGTTATAACACGACTATCACTAAGGACAAAATCTTAAACCTACAGATAACCTGTAAGCTTGCTGGACTATAGTTAGATCCTTATTAACTAATGGTATTTGTTGGTGCGTGTGCCTGTGTGTATGTTTGAGACACACTTTGTCTGTGTAGCCCAGGCTAGCCTAGACTGCATAATCCTTTTTCCTCAGTTATGATCATCTCATATTTTAAATCTTCAGATAATTTTGCAAGTGTGAAATTTAATGTAAACTGTAAGCATGTGCAATTTAGAAGGTCAGAGTGTTCTCATCTAACATGCAGATAGTTATTAAGGAAAAAATACATAAATATATAAAGTAACTATGTGGCCTAAAATTTAATTAAAAATACAACTTTAAGGGAAACAACCAGAAGCTTTTAAAAAGAAACTATGCTTACTTCACTGCCTTAAAGCTATGTTCTATAATGGCACTCTAGTAAATAGCATACTATAAAATTATGATTTATTAAAGTCTAATTCTTCTCCCCCAACCAAAGGCATTAAAACTATAACTGGCTTTTCACAGGCCACCGATAAGCAAGAATGAAAACAAATAATCCTAAAGTTTGAAAGAAAAAGCTGCAACACATACAATGGAACTACTACTATTTAGGGCACACATAATAAAAATTACATCAAAGCAAGGCATGGTAGTGTGTGTCCATAATCCTAGCAATTACACTGAGAAAGGTGGATTACAAGTTTGAGGCTAACCTGTGCTACAAAGCAAGACTCCACCTCAAAAACTGAGAGTGAACAAGAAGAAGAAAAACCTACACTGATAACACAAATGCTTGAATGCTTGGTACCCATTTAGTGAAACTATTGGGAAAGGATTAGGAGGCATGGGCTTGTTGGAGAAGGCGTGTTATTGGAGTGGGCTTTGAAGTTTCAAAATCCCAAGCCAAACCCAGTCCCTCCTTCTCCCTTTTTCCTTCTCTCACTCTTCCTCACTCCCTCTCTCTCTCCTTCTGACAGCAGATCAGGATGTAAAACTCTCAGCTACTGCTCCAGTGCCATGTCTGTCTGCTTCCTGCCATGATGATCATGGACTAACCCTCTAAAACTGTAAGCAAGCCCCTAATTAAATTCTTTCTTTTAAATGTTGCCTTGGTCATAGTGTCTCTTCACAGGAATAGAACAGTAACTAAGAACATTCCCCCATCACTCACTAATTAAGATGCCCTACAGGCTTGTCTCCAGCCAGATCTTATTTCTCAGTTGTGTTCCCTCCTCTCAGATGACCCTAGCTTGTGTCAAGCTGATGTCAAATTAGCCAGCACAACCACTAAGTCATTTTTCTTTAGCCTCAAATTATCTGATTCCTGAAAAGAACAATTATATAATTATTCCACTGTATCTGTATTAATAAAGAATATGCTTTAATGCAAAGATCACATTTAAGATTCACATTTTTAAAATACAGTTGTTTACTTTATGTGTGTGTACCTGAGTGTAGGTGTGTGCAACATATACAGCCAAGAGTCTGGGAAGGTCAGAAGAGGAATCAGATCCTGTGAGTCTGGAGTTCCAAGTCCTTGATAACAGCAGCAAGTGCTCTTAACACTAAGCCATCTCTCCAGGCTAAACTCACAGTTTAAAGAATCCCTATTCTCTATTTGATATGAAACAACCTAAAATTCACAGAGTATGCTGTATTTTGATGATGACATATAAACCACAGGGTTGGTTATTAACTTCTACATGTAACCCTAATCCTTACGGTAGCACACAAAGCAAGCAAGCATGAAGTAAAGGCAATTTGTGTGTCACTCTTGTGTCCTATTTTAGACTGGACCCTCCTAAGTTATTTTCTATAGCTGTAGCACAGCTGGAAAAGCTTAATCAGGAGCATAATAAATTCTCAATTTAGTTTTCCTAATAGAAATTCAGGGTTATAACCTGCATGACCACAGATAAACGTTACTAAAAGTGCAGCCAGCAAGGCATTTGGTACATTTGATATGTATTAATATGTGCACTCGACACAGCTTATTTGGCATTAACTGGTGGGGGTTAGGTTATAGGGAATAGAGTAATGGAAGGTTTTCACTGATGTGAACTGGGACGCAGTTGACATGTTGTATACTGGATGATAACCATTGTTGTGTAAATGTGGGTTCCTAGAAATGGTTACAGTACAAAGTAAATTCAAAACATCTCACTTTGCACTTTCATTTTGTGAACTACACAAAGCAATTATCATATCTTCTTCCTTTCTATGATTCCAACAGAGAATCCACAGCACAGAATAAAGCTATAAGCAACTTGCCATGTGTAATCTGTATCTAGTCAGCATTTCAAAACACAAAACAGTAGAACATTTATTTGCCCTGTTTGCTCAAAATATGTTATAAGCACATATAAAATGTACACAGAGATACTGAAGAGCCTTTTTCCACATTTGTTTGGTCTTAAGCAGGTATTAAATACAAATTAGATATGGTGATACTTCCTTCATATCCTGAATACACAGATCAACATACAAAATATGGTCTAGAACAAGTAAAATTGAGTTCATGCTCTCAAAACACTAAGACTGGTCTGAATTGATCCTGGCAACAAAAAATCTATACTCAGTACATCAGGCTCTGGAAACTGAGCTCAAGACAGCAGATTTGCAAATGGGTTCACTAAGCAAACTAGTACTAGCAGTTTATTAAGAACTAAAGACCTAGAGAAATTACAGTTGAAAAATAATGTGACACTTAGTAGAGGATGGCTCAAACTAATGCTAGGCAGCATCTAATTCCAAAGCTATAATGAGAAAGTGTGTATGTTCTGGTGTGTGTATGTGAACATGTATGGAAATTCATATGGGCACTGAGGGAGAGACTGAACAATGAAGGCAACAGTCTGGAACAGACACAGAACACACCGTTTCTACAAGGAATGCAATTGTGACCAGTTAAAAGTTTATGTCAGATTATGAACAACTAATTCAACTCATCTAAAGTAAATCCTTACTCTCCTTGTATGGTGATGTATTAGATTCGAGTGAGAAATCTAGGTTTGGAATCTCTGTTCTAGTATCTACTGGCTAGTGTACTAGCATGAAAGAATGTACATAGAATTATTTTACAAAACATAAATCCCTTTAGAAACACTAGTAATTCATATAAAATCAGAAACAAAACTGAGTGGGGTGGTGCATATGTAGTCCTAGGACTTAGGAGACTAACAAAGGAGGATTATTAGTTCAAGGCCAACCTGGGATACATATTCAGACTGTATTTGAAAACAATCAGAAATAATAGAATTCCCAACAACTTGTGCTCAGAATTCCAAGATTCTAAAAGTGATCTACTGTACAAATGAGAAGGTAACATGTAACACTTACATGCACAACACAAAAAATAAAACACCACAAAATTCAGCTTTGTTTTGACTTGAATGCCAAAATTATAATGAACACAATTGTAATAAAATGAAAACTAAATTTGACAGTGATTCATTTATTTTATAGTCCTTCCAAACCTTCATATTAGTTTGCTTCTATGTTACTGTGTTAAAACACTGACCAAAACTGAATGAGTAAGAAAAGAGCTTACTTCATTTTACAACTCCAACCCATCACTGATGTTAAGTCAGTACGAAAACTCCAACCCATCACAGATAGAAGTCAGAACAAGAACTCCAACACATTACTGATGGCAGTCAGGATAAAAACTCAAGGCAGGACCCTTGGGGCAAAAAGTGAAGCAAATACAATGGAGGAATGCTGCACACTGGCTTGCTATCATCATCATCATCATCATCATCATCACTGAAAATAGTTTTTTCTCATATAATACATTCTGATTATGGTTCCCCTCCCTCTACTCCTTCAGTTCCTCCCCACTTCCTCTCCTATCAAGATCCAGCCCCTTTCAATCAATCATTAGAAAAAAAAAACAGGTTTCTAAGGGAATATAATATAACTAAACAAAACAGAATAGTACAAAACAAATAAATAGAAGAAAAGAGCCCCCAAAAGGCACAAGGAACAGATATAGACACAGAGACCCACTCATTAACACACACAAGAATCTCCCCAAAAAACACAAAACTGGAAGCCATATATAGATGCAAAGGATATGTAAGAGGAGAAAGAAAGAGAGAAAGGCCTGACATGACATTATGTGATATGTGACAAGGAACCTCCAAAGATGCCATTGAGTTCATTCTCTGCTGCCCATCTACTGCTGGGCATAAGTTGCTTGCCACAAAGTTAGAGCAAGGCCCTATTACCAAAAACAACACCTACTCCTACACAACTCATTGAAGACAAAGAAATAGAGCAGGTATCTACCTAGAACACTCCTCCACCCCAGAACAGGCTAGTGTTCTTGGCACCACAAAGTACTCTGTAGGCTATCAAAGAAGAAAATAAACACCAACCCAATCTCAAACCCTTGTATCTACAATGAGGTCCTACCTGTAAGATATTCTAGTGCAATGGGGCACATGGCTGTGGGAGCAACCCACCAATATCTACTTTGATGTAAAGACCACTCCACAAGATGGAACCCATACCTGATGTTGCTTGGATGAGCAAGAACCTGGGACTAGATATCCCAGAGACCTAGAATAAAACCAAATACTTCTAATGAAGCAATAAAATGGCTCGTAATGATATTCTACTATACTCATAGATAAATGTCTTGCTCAACCATTGTATCACGAAAAATATAAACCAAGAGACTGATATGGAGGTTCAAGCTTCAAGCTGAAGATCAGAAAAGCTAAGGTGCCAAGCCAGTAGCTCTTACCTCTACCCAGATAAAATGGCACTCCTGCC